ACCTCCTTGGGAAAAGGACCAGTTTCCAGATGCAGTTCATGCTGCCACAGCTCAAGGATACCATTACCGTGGTCACACCCAGCCCGGAAACCCAGGTCTTGCACACATGTGATCCCTTCACTCACCACAGTTCACATCTTAGGGCACTGAAGACTGCCCAGCATGATGTGTGGGAAAGGGGTCGCAGTCATGGAGAGTAGGCCGTGGGAAGAGCAGAGGGGTCTGCATTCTCTCTAGAGTGGGATGGTGTCACCTGCTGGACAAGTCCACCAGCCATTCTCAGCTCATGCCAACCAGTCACTGGGCACTCGCCCCTGCTGCCCAAGGAAATGGGTCCATCTCCAGAGAGAAAGCCAGGAGTTTCCAAGGTTGATGTCATTGTTTTGAAAACCAGCACAACCCTGACCAAAGAGCCGTTGTATCCAGAGACCCCTGCGGCTGCCAGCTGCCGAGATGCCGTTCTGTTTGCCAGCCCACCAGCACCTGATGAACCTCGTCCCAAGGTAAGCTCACAGTTCACCCGTACCCTCATCAAAGGATGAGGCCCAGGAAATTCAGCAAATACCTGGGATTACCCGATGTGTTTCCTGAGCCACTGTGTAACCTGGAGCCATTTGGGTGCCAGCCTGCAGTGTGGGTAGCCACATTGGTACCTGGCAGGCACACGGGGGTCAGACATGGCATCTGCACAGTGATGTCCCATCAGCTTTAGAGAACTTGACTTGGAGTTTCCCAGGGACTGGAGCTGCTAGAGCTGATGGTCTCAAGAGGCCCACTTCACCCTCTGCACTGGGGCAGTGCGCTTTCAGTTAGCTCCCATCGATCACGATTTCCAGCAGGAGCTGCTGTGGGCAGGGCAGAATCTGCTCTTCCCTGCCTGTCTGCTCTAGCCATGGTCAGCTGGTGTGTGTCAGACACCCCGGGCAGGCTGCACGCAGACTCCTCTCCCCTCCCTCTCCCTCTTCCCAAGGCAGAGCCTCTTGACGGCAACGCATCTCCTCTCATACTTCAAGAGTGTCATGTTGGCTCATGGGCCTGGCTTATAAAGCTCCACTCTAACCACTGAAGCCAACAAACTCTCTTCCCAAGGCTGCCACGAGCACCCCGAGGAGCCCGCGGTTGGATTGTGTCCTGTCTCCCCTCTCTTAGTTTCAGCAGCGTAAGACCTCGGGGTCTGAGCTCCTGAGGTCACGAGAAAAGTAGTGAATGTATGGCTACAGCCTCCTCCATGTCTGGAGTTGTCAGCAGGAAATGCGCAGTGAAGTTGGCTCTGCGCCATCCACTGTTGCTGCCTGCTCAGTCTTCTGTGCTTACTCATCACTGAGTAAAATCCATGTGCTGGGGAGGGGTTCCCACAATTAATTTGCAGGGCATCCAGGAGAGCAGGAAGATGTGAACTCTGGGCCACCTTGGGACTCCCAGAAGAGGGAGCTCCCTGGGAGGCAGATGGCCCTAGAGGGTTAACAAGGGGTGGAGTCATGGTACTTCCTGTTGAACTGGAACCCTGAATTTATGCGGATGACAAGACTGCTGATGCTTTAGAACTGCTCTCAGAAATGTATTCTTAAGTTGGCCTACATGTGTCTAGGGAAAAAAGAAAAACCAATGCTTCCTTGCAGGTCCTGTAAAATTGCGATCTTGCAGAAAGGATATGTGGTTCCTATTGCCAGCAGTACCCAGTTCAAGGGAGATGGTAATATCGGGCATGGCCACTAGAGGGGAGTGTGGGAGCTAAGCTGAGGCAGCAGGCCTTTACTTGGATGGATGATCTGGATGTGCAGGGTCTGGGTTGGGCACAGCCACTGACTGGTCAGTCCTGGGGAACAGGCACAAGGGGCTGCATGGGTATGGGCCGCAGAGAGTCGGGCTGGTCGTAGGTAGCACCAGGCACAGGGGCTACGTAGCAGGAAAGGATGTGGGTAATGATGCAGCCTGGGAAAGGGGATTTGGACTGTGACTTGGGGCCAGCCCCTACCTCGGCTCCCTCATGAGGACAAGGCACTTCTTGGGGTTTTTTTCAGAAGGGGGATTGTGGGGGTTGCAATGCTCCCTGGGCCTCCCCTCCCCTTCTTATTCCCAGATCCCATTGTTGGGAGCCATATACATTATAGCCATATTAAAGCCATTTTTGAATCTAGATCTGGCTCAGTGAAAAGTACCAGCTAGCAAAGTGCAAGGGAAACCAATTTTTAAGACACCCTGCGGTTTACAAGTTATCTAGCAACCCACCCAGCTCTGAGCACACTTGGTGCTTGTAACAGGATGTTGGCTTGTGCCCTACCTGCTGGCATCCTCTTGTGAGCATAAGGGGGTTTTGGGAAATAGCTACCCAGAAAGAGTTGTGAACCATGCCCGCCTCTTGCAAGCATAAAGGGCTTTTAGAAATAACTGTCCAGAAAGAGCTGTGAAGCCATGTCCTGGACCCTATTTCCTCTTTCTCCTCACCCATAGACCCTGTTTTGCAGACTATAAAGCCTTGTGTGAAAATAAAATTTGGTCAGCTTGATCAGACATCCTATCTTGCTGTCCATTCCTGTGCCTCTTGTCCCCCCATTCTCTCCTAGGTTGGCTGTGACCCCCGTTGACTGTCCTGCTGGACGGGACACCCCATAGCCCTTTCCATGTCAGCCTGGGGCCTCTTGCCAGCCATCCACTTTCCCAAGAATTTGCTTTCCTGTAGCAAAAAGAATTACTTTTCCATTCCCAGTCATGATCTAGCCCCTCACAAGCTCTGCCACCTGTGGTACCCAAAGCCCCCCACTCCTGTACCCCGTCTCTGAGTTTCCACTAAGCAGATACCCGTGTGGGGGTGGGGGTTGGGAGAGGAGGAGCCAGGCTCAGTGTCACCCCATATGTTTATCTCTCTCTCTCTTTTAAAGATTTACTTTCTTTATTGGAAAGACAGATTTATAGAAAGGAGAAACAGAAACTGAAAAAATCTTTGTTTCCCCAAGTGGCCACAGTGACCGGAGCTGAGTGGAACTGAAACCAGAAGCCACAAGTTTCCTCTGGTCTCCCACATGGGTGCAGGATCCCAAGATTTTGGGCCATCCTTGATTGCTTTCTCAGGCCACAAGCAGGGAGTTGGATGGGAGGTGGAGCAGTTGGGGTACAAACTGATGCCCATATGGGATCCCAGCACGTGTACAGAGATTTAACAACTGAGCCACCGTGCTGGTGCCCATCCCAGGTTCTTGTAAAAGCTGCAGAGTTGGTACTGCGTTCTGCTGAACCTGGGTGGGAAGGGGGAGGATTTCTGCACAATCGTGTGATTCCAAGAGGCTGTTACTGCCCACCCCTGTCTCTGCCCACTTGGAGCACAGGCAGATGACAACCCACAGAGAGAGCCACCTCTGTGTGCTTGAACACTTAGGGTGTCAGAATGTGCCCCTCCCCCACCCGTTGCATCTTTTCTCACACTGATTTCCAACTAGATCTCCAAGTAGACATAATCAAAATGAGCAGACACGTGGGGACACACACACACCAGCTTTATTCTTGCTAACAGCGCTTGAGACATAGATTAGACAGGTGGAATAGACAGCCCTAAAATAGACTCCAGAATTGGGCTGATCCACAGAGCCCCAGGCTGCCCCACACCATCAACCAACATCCCCATCCCCACCCTCACACCAGCCCCTGTCACTGTGCACTTGAGCTTGGTGGTACCCTGTCCACAAGCCCTCCCCCTGCCGCAGCGAGAGATGTCTACCCCAGAACAAGCCACAAGACAGACCATGCATGTGCACCTGCAGGTGCAGAGGTCCTGTGTCCTGCCGAGGATGTCCTGCCCAGCATCGGCCACTGTGTCCTAAGTTGACTGATCCCACTCCTCTGTGGAAAGCGAGAGTGGGAGTGGAGAGACAAGAAGCTCTTTCCTCCCTGTGTTTTCAAGGGTGATGTGCAGGTGCTTTTAAGGCAGTGGGTGTCATCAGATTCCCTGGGAGGAGTTGGGAATCCATTGCTCTTATGCCTTAGCCATCCACCCCCTGCTTCCCTGGGCCCTGGGTTCTCCACGCCCCACCCCTGCTACTTCCGGTCCCTGCCCCCTCGGTTCTGTCTGGACTTCAGCTCCCCAGTGGAGTCTTACAGCTGCATTTGCTCCCCTGTGCTTTGATGCCTACACCCCACATCAGATCACGGGTGACTTCAGTGTGGAAGGGTGAATCGGCTGCGGCCCTGGGTGGGGAATCAGGGGAGCAGCACTATGTACTGGCTTGCTTCCTACCTCTAGGGGCCTCCTCCTCAGCCCTAGCTGGGGTTGCAAAGCAGCCCACAGTCCTGGTTGGTACCTTGGGGGCTCTCTTGCCCCAGCCTGATCACAAGGCATGCTGGTGGAGTGCCCAGCACTGGGCATCCTGTGCTTTCCACACCCGGGCCTGCCCATCAGCAACACTCTTGGTGCAGCCTGGGCTTTACGTGGGCCTGTGAGAAGGGCTGACATTTCTGCTTTCCTCCAGCCACCCTGCCCCACAAAGGGGCAGATGGGCAGTCAGCACCTCCCTTCTCTGTGTGGACTGTGCCCCGCTCCTGCAAGGCAGAAGCAGCTGAGGACAACTTGGGTTCAAGGCATTTTATCTTTCTGACTTGGTATGCAAAAGTGGACTCCCTGGAGCTGGTGCTGCTGGCCCCGGGATCCCCCTTTCCTGTCCTCCAGGTGATGACAGCCACCTCTGAGGGCAGCAGTGAGGAGACAGCTTGTTTAGCTCTCAAGTTGTAGTTTCACTTCTATTTTCCCCGTTTGGGTGGAGCCTGCTGGCTTCCCAGCCAGGCCCCTCTGCAGTCGGGAGGGGGGGGGAGGGGCGATTGCGGGGGGGGGGGGGAGCTTCCTGCTGGGGCAGGGCACAGGCAGGGCACAGGCAGGGAGCCTGGGGGAATCAGAAGTGGAGCAGGCTGTTGGCAGGAGGGGACAGCAACAGCTCTACCAGGAGAGTTCTTAGCCACTTCCTTAGCTGTCTGTCAGTCCGCAGAGCAGCTCCAGTGTCCTCAGCTTCTGTGTTTCCTGGGGACTAGTGCAGATTCCCAGGAGATCAGGTAGGTGGGCTTAAGTGCCCGGAGTGCGCCCGGAGTGCGGGAATGGGCTGTGTGGGGCAGCTGGGCCGTTTCGAAACTAGCAGGGGCAGTGCGCTGTGAACACAGCTGGAGAATGTGTGACTTTCTCATTCAGCAGCTTCTACTGCTCTGGCCAGCTGGCCAGCAGACACTGCTGTCCGGGTGACGGGTGCAGGACTGATTTCCTCGCGGCCTCCGAACTTTCTCTAGGGTCCCTGCCTGCTCCTTCACGCAGGTCACGGCCATCAAGGAAGCTTAGAAAATAGCAAACATGGGAGGAAGCGCTTTGCCCATTTTCCAGCTTAGGGCGTGGTGGGTCTCACCCTGGCGGCAGGACCAGCCCTGGACTGACTCGGGTCTGAGCTTTTCTCTGGAAGAGAGGGGCCCGTGGGCATCAAAGGCTGGTGCAGGCTCAGGGGCTTTATTTTCACTCTTAACTTCCAGATGAGTGGCACTTCTGACATAGTCACAGAAATCGTCTCTTTTCCTGTAGTGGGCTCAGAAATAACATGGCCTCGTCGTTTTGATTTAATTTTTCACGAAGAAACATGATTTTGTTCATAAAATTTCCAATGACACAGAGGTAGACAAGAGAAAGTAATGCTGTCGCTCCTTCCATTCTCAAGTCCTGCGATGTCTTGGATGTGCCTTCCGTATCTGTGCACTTAACATAAATAATTGGCTTTGCAAATATTGAGGGTGCTTCAAAAAATGGAATGAAAAAATAAAGTTTGGGTTTTTTTGATGCAGAAACTATTTGAAATCTGTATGTACAGGTGTCTCCCGGAAATTCACTGCTAATACAGGTTAGGAAAAAACTATGCATGAAATTCCAATGAACTTTTGCAGTCCACTGATAAAATTTACATATTCTCCATCAGTAATAAATGGGACTAGACTATGGGTATAGGGTCTGCATTTTTCATTTTCAATTATTTTAGCAGTGGAAATCTTAGCAGTCTTTGTGTTTATGTGTAGCTCTACCTCACTCTTTCTAACAGCTACATGACGTTGCTTGCATAGGATTTATACATCCTTATTGTCAAACGAGTACCTGTGGATGAAATCTAGACTCTCGGTTGTTCACTTTGATCAACAAGCCATAGTGATGGTTGTGCTTCTCTCTCGCTGTGTGACAAGTATTTATCTTATGTCAAAAACCAATATCGCATGTAGACAAGTATTTATCTTATGTCAAAAACCAATAACAGGTCTTTTTGTTTGTTTCAAAGATTTACTTAGTTTTGGGGCCCGGCGCCGTGGCGCAAGTAGTTAAGGTCCTGGCCTTGCACGCCCAGAATCCCATATGGGTGCCGGTTCTAAACCCGGCAGCCCCGCTTCCCTTCCAGCTCCCTGCCTGTGGCCCGGGAAAGCAGCAGAGGACGGCCCAAGGCTTTGGGACCCTGCACCCACGTGGCAGACTCGGAAGAGGCTCCTGGCTTCGGACCGGCATAGCATCGGCCGTTGTGCTCACTTGGGGAGTGAATCATTGGATGGAAGATCTTCCTCTCTGTCTCTCTTCTCTGTATATCTGCCTTTCCAAAAAAAATAAAATAAATCTTTTAAAAAAAAGATTTACTTAGTTTTAGTGGAAAGGCAGATTTATAGAGATAAAGAGATACAGAGAAAATAATCTTTCATCTGCTGGTTCACTCCCCAAGTGGCAGCAATGGGTCTCCCACGCGGGTCTTGCAGGCCTCTCTCTCGGGTCTTCCAGGTCTCCCACATGTGGCGCAGGGTCCCAAGGCTTTGGGCCATGCTCAACAGCTTTCCCAGGCCACCAGTAGGGTGCTGGATGGGAAGTGCGGCTGCCAGGATTAGAACAGCTGCCATTATGGGATCCTGGCACATGCAAGGCAAGGATTTAGCCACTAGGCCACTGTGCTGGGCCCCAGCAAAAACAAGTCTTGAGGCAAGGTTAGAACATTTACTGGCTGGGTCAGTGTTTTTAGTAAGAGCAAATGAGGGAAGCCATCTCTCCCCACTTGGCCAAACTTTGCGACTGGTAACATGTGACTTCTTGTTTCCATTTGTGTTTTCGGGCAGCTGGGGAATTTGTGTGTGTTTAACAACCACTCAAATCTCCTCTCGCTGATTCATTCTTTGCCTGTGTCATTCAGTTTCGGCATTTGGCCTCCTGTTCAGGACGTGGGAGGATTTGCTTGATATTCTGAAAAGCAGAAGTACGCTTTCCTCATCCTTTATCTTCGCAGTAGTCATGGCCATATTTAATACTCATTAGGGTTTGGTTCTTTAAATGTATATTCTTGTAGGAGTGTTTCTGAGCTCAGTGCTATAGTTCCGTGAATCACCCATGAAGCCATCATGTCAGCCACCGTGTGTTTGTTTCTCAGCCTAGAGTTCACATTCCTGCTTTGTTTAGGTTGTTGGGAGGCCTTCAGCACCTTGGGCTACCCTCCGTCCCTGTGCAAGCTTGTCTTCTCTGCCCCTTTGTTGTTTGGCATGCTACCGTGGCCTCACAGCCCACCTCGCCCGTGCTTGCCCGGAAGCTGGCTCTCATGTAACTGCCTTGGCTGAAAGTGAATCATCTCCCATCTGGGCAGTTGGAAGATTCTTCTTAGGTGCTTGTTTCACCTGGGGGTGCCACCCGTCTGCACACTGCTTGCCAGCGCTGCCCTCTTGCCAGGTCAGCAGAGGCAACACAAAGTAGGGACTTATTGGGTGCAGGTTTTTTTTAGTAATATATGGGAATTGTGTAGTATGAAAAAACTCTTCATGAGCCTGGTATTCTATGGTATAGAAACAGTGATGGCAGTGGCTTGCCTCTTGGTCCCAATCCTGAAAGGATTTTTACGTTAAAGAATAAAAGTTTAGAAGAAGATGGCCGACATAGGAGGAAGGCTGTGAGTGAGAGCCCAGTGAGAGAGGGATAGAACGCTACAGAAGCAGCAAAGAGGAACAGCAAAGAACTGCAGGGAGAGGTACGTGAAGTTCCCTGGACAGTGTGGAGCCGAAAAGATCCACACAACTCGGAAGAACAACGAGAACAAAACAAAACAAAAGGCAGGGAAGACGGCGTCCTGCTCCAGACCTGCTGAATCACCTTTAAGGGCAGCCAAGAGGAGACGCAGCCGACCCAGAGACACGGAAACCTGAAGGGATCGTCATTGGCAAATGTCTTCAACAGCAGCAGAGACAGACTGCAACAGCCTGAGATTCGGGTGAGCCAGGAAAGGTTTAACAGCTTCTGGAGCCCGCCTTCCAGGGGCAGGCACAAAGCCCAAGCCTCTTGGGTGCTCCTTTTACCCTCCCTTCCTGCAGAGGTTCTGGCCTCTGAGAACACAGGGCAAGCGCCTTGAAACTGCCGAATCTGTGCCTTGGAAGTGGCGCACAGTAGTCCTGGGTGCTGAGAAGGCACAAAGAAAGCACCCCAAATATTCCCGCGCTGTGTGGGCCAGTGCATCTCAGTGCGCAGAAACTACCAGAGAGGGTCTAGAATCCCCCACACCCTGATACCCTGTGGGTGGGTGACACACCAGGAGGGCTCTGAACACCGCGCCAGGCTGGGTGGTCCCGCCTGCAGAAGCTGCCTCTGCAGCACAGGGGCTACACCAGGAGGGCTCTGAGCACTGGGACGTGTAGTGCTGTGTGACCCTGGCACGCAGGAGCCACTCCCATAGAGTGACTTGCCCACTCCTTGCCTCTCACCCTGCAGTTCTGAGCGTAGGCGACCTACCAGGAGAGCTCTGAAAACTCCTGCACCACACTGGCACTGTACGAACCAGCCGTGAAGTCACTTTAACAGGGCGCCTGGGTCACTCCTCCACTGCAGTCCTGTGTGAGGGAGTCACACCAGGAGGGCTCTGAACACCCACACGCCACATGTGGTGGAATCACTGCACAAGAACCACGCCCAGAAAGTGCCTCACCCACAGTCCCGTGTGTGGGCGACACACCAGGTGGGCTCTGAAAAACCCTGCAGTCCCTGGCACAGGGAACGCATGGAGAAAGCACATAAAACCTTCCACGTCCTGTGGATTCCCGTGCAGGGGGCACACCCAGAGAGCGCCTTCATCCCTCCACGCCCTGGGGTGCCACACCTGTAGAAGAGGTGCCCAGAGTGTGCCTGGAATCCACAGGGTCCCCAAGGTGGTGCCCTACAGTCCCAGGCACTGAGGATGCACCAAAGGTGCCTTGAAAATTCCCACGCCCTGCAACACCACACCTGCAGGCTCCAATCTCTACAGGAAAGCGCCTGACGACCCCTCAACACACGGGTTCACATCTAACCAGAAAAGATGCAAAGAAACTGAAAGTGAAGGGATGGAAAAAGATATTTCACGCCAATGGACGAGAAAAAAAAGCGGGGGTAGCTGTCCTAATTTCAGACAAGATAGATTTCAATCTAACTAACATCAAAAGAGACAAGGAAGGCCATTTTATACTGGTGAAAGGAATGATCATCAAGAAGCAATCACCATCATTAATGTTTATGCACCAAATCTCAATGCGCCTAGTTACGTAAAGCAATTACTTACAGACTTAAGGGAAGACATAGATACCCACACAATTCTTGTAGGCAATCTCAACACGCCTTTAACATCAATGGACCGGTCTACGAAACAAAAACTCAACAAAGAAACAACAGAGCTCACACAAACAATAGAACAACTGGACTTAGTAGACATATATAGAACTTTTTATCCTAAGGCCACAGACTATACATTCTTCTCAGCGGTGCATGGCACCTTCTCCAGAATCGACCACATGATAGGACACAAATCGAATCTAAATAACTTCCAAAACATTAGTATCATACCATGTACCCTCTCAGACCACCATGGGATGAAACTGGAAATCAACAACTCAAAACTCCCCAGGAAATATAGACACTCTTGGAAGTTGAACAATATGCTATTAAACGAACAATGGGTCAGAGAAGAAATTAAAGATGAGATAAAAAAATTTATGGAAACCAATGAAAACTCATACAACATTCCAAAACATGTGGGACACCGCCA